CTCTGCCCCTCCCCAACTCCTGCTTTGTCTCTCTCAAAATTAAATAAACATTAAAAAAAGAGAGAATAGACTTAATATTGGTTAGAATATAGAGCAGTGTGAACTCATACACTCAACAATGAGACCCCAAAATTCTGATCCTAAGTTTATGTAACCTGGAGAAACACTTGAATATGTGCATCGAGATAAATGTACCAGCAGATTCATATCAGCATTGCTTGAAACAACAAAATGTCACTGTCCATTGAAGGAGAATGGGTAAATAAAATGTGGTATATGTCACGCTATAGTAGTGAGCATGAATGGACTACAGCTACACACATGAATATGGATGAATCTTCCAAACATAATGTTGAACAAAAAAAGCAAGTTACAGAATATATGTGATACAATTCCTTAAATGTATATAGTTCAAAACATGCTCTATTTGTCTTCTAGAGCTGCCATAACAAAGTGTCACAGACTGGGTGGCTTAAACAACACAAATTTATTTACTCACAGGTCTGTGCATTAACTTTGGTCATCTATGCTTTGCTTTCTTCTAGAAGATTTATAGTTTTAGATTTTCTATTTAGGTTTATATTACATTTCTAGTTAATTTTTGTGTATAGCATAAGGAAAGAGGGTTAATTTGTGTTCTTGTTCAGTTCTAACACTTTTTGTTGAAACGAGACTGTTCTTTTACCATTGAATTGTCGTGGCAACTTTGTTGAGAATCAGTTGTACATATATTTTTGGATCTATTTATGGACTCAGTCTTTTTGTGTGTGTGTGTGTGTGTGTGTGTTTATTTATTTATTTATTTTTGAGGCGTGGAGGGGTTAAGAGAGAGGGGGACAGGGGATCCGAAATGGACTACATGCTGATAGCAGAGAGCCTGATGCCACTCAAACTCACAAACCATGAGATCATGATCTGAACTGAAGTCAGACACTTAACCAGCTGAGCCACCCAGGCACCACTATTAATGGACTCAGTCTTATATTAATAGATGTGTCTGATCTTATGCACTGCTTTGATTACTGTAGCCTTATAATAAAGTTTGAAATCAGGTAGCATAACTTGTCCAGTTTTGTTTTTCCTTTCCAAAATTGTTTAGATTCTTCTGGTCATGAAGTTTATAATCAGTTTGTCAGTTTCTACAAAAAAGCCTGCTGAGGTTTTGATTGGGGTTGCATTGAATCTATAGATCATTTGGGGAATGATTCCATCATCTTAACAATATTAAATCTATCTTTCCATAAGTGATGGCATATATTTCTGTTTATTAGGTCTTCTTTAACTTCTCTCAGCAATGTTTTGCAGTTTTCATTATAAAGATACCACACTTATTTTTGTTGAATTCATTTTTAAATATTTCATTTTTGGTGGAGTTAAAAAATGTTTTTAGGGGCACCTGGGTGGCTCAGTTGGTTGAGTGTCTGACTCTTGATCTCAGGGTCATGAACTCAAGCATGTTGGACTCTGTGTTGGGTGCAAAG